TAGAGGGGAAGGATCACCTCCTTTGACCTGCTGGTCACAATCCTTTTGATGCAGCCCAGGATATGGCTGGTTTTCTGGGCTGCAAGCGCACACTGCCTGCTCACGTTCATTTTCTCATCGACCAACAACCCCAAGTCTTCTCCACAGGTCTGTTCTGAATACCTTTTCTGCCCAACCTGTAGCTGTGCCTGGGATTGCTCCGACCCAGGTGTAAGACCTTACACTCGGCTTAGCTGAACTTCATGAGGCTGGCATTGGCCCACCTCACAAGCGTGTCAAGGTCCCTCTGGATGGCATTCCTTCCCTCCAGCATAACAACCAAGCTACGCAGCCTGGTGTCTTTGGCAAACTTGCTGAGGGTGCACTCAATCCCACTGTCCTGTCAGCAACAAAGATGTTGAACAAGACCGGTCCCTACACCGATTCCAGAGGGACACCACTTGTTCCTGGTCTCCAGCTGGACATTGAGCCATTGACCACAAGTCTCTGCGCGTGGCCATCCAGCCAGTTCTTTTTCCACTGAGTGGTCCATCCATCAAAGTGATGTTTCTCCAATTTAGAAACAAGGATGTCATGTGGGACAGTGTCGAATACTTTGCATAAGTCCGGGTAGATGACATCAACTGCTCTACCCCTGTCCATCAGTTCCATAGCCCCATCATAAAAGACCACCAAATTGGTCATGCAGGATTTCCCCTTAGTGAAGCCATGCTGGCTGTCACCAAGCACCTTGTTGATTTTCATGTGCCTTAGCATGCCATCCAGGAGAATCTGCTTGAAGATTTTGTCAGGCACAAAGTTGAAACTGAGTCATCTTAAATTTCCTGGGTCTTCCATTTTCCTCTTTTTTAAAAAGGGGGTTGTATTTCTCCTTTTCCAGTCATCAGGCACTCCACCTGACTGACACAATTTTTCTAATATGATGGGCAATTGCTTAGCAACTTCATTCGCCAGCTCCTTCAGGTCCACGGATGGATTTCATCAGGTCCCAAGGACTTGCGCACATTCAGGTTCTTAAGATAATCTCGAACCTGATCCTCTCCTACAGTGGGCCTAAGTTCTTCATTCTCACAGTCCCTGCATCTGCCTTCCAACACTTGGGTGGTGTGGTTAGAGCACTTGCCAGTGAAGCCTGAGGCAAAGAAGTCATTGAGAAACTCAGCCTTCTCCAAATCCAGGGTAGCCAGTTGTCCCGATAGCATCCAGAGAGGGCCCGCATTGTCCCTAGTCTGTCTTTTATTTGCTACATACCTATAGAAGCCCTTTTCATTATCTTTCACACCCCTTGCCAGACTCCATTCTGACTGGTCCTTAGCTTTCCTAATCTGGTCCCTAGCTTCCTGGACAACATCCCTGTATTCTTCCCAGGCCACCTGTCCTTGCTTCCACCTTCTATAAGCTTCTTTTTTCCCCTCTAAGTTTTTCCTCAGCAACGCCTTATCCATCCATGAAGGTCTCCTGGCCCTCCTGCCGTACTTCCTTCTAGCCGGGACACAATGCTCCGGAGCTTGGAACAGCTCGGTGATCCTTGAATATCAACCAAAGTGATCCTTGAATATCAACCAGAAGTCTTGGGCCCCCGGCCCTTTAGGGTTTTTTCCTAGGAACCTTACTGAGCAGGCTCCTGAAGAGGCCAAAGTCTGCTCTCTTGAAGTCCAGCGCAGTGAGCTTGCTGCACACTTTTCTCACTGTCCTGAGGGTCTCAAACTCTACCATCTTGTGATCACAACAGCCAAGGCTTCCCTGGAGCATCACATTTACAATCAGCCCCTCGCTGTTGGTAAGCACAAAGTCAAGCATGGCACCTCTCTTTGTTGGCTCCTCTATTTACTTGCAAGAGGAAGTTGTCTTCCACACAACCGAGGAACCTCCTGGACTGCTTGTGCCGAGCCGTACCATCCCTCCAGAAGGTATCAGCATGTTTCAAGTCCCCCATGAGAACAAGCACCTGCGAGCCTGAGGCTGCTCCTATCTCTCTGTAGAGTGCTCCATCCACAGAGTCATCCTGATCAGGCAGTCTGTAACAGATCCCTGCAGTGATGGCCCCCATCACTGTTCTCCCTTTGACCCTGACCCACAAACTCTCTGTTGACTGATCACCTGTCCCCAGATGGAGTTCCATTCTTTCCAGACTACCACTGACATAAATAGCAACACCCCCTCCCATCTCTAATTCCTCTTGTTTATTTCCCATACTACTGATGTTTGTACAGAGGCAACTGAGCCGGGCTGGAGGGGCTGGAACAGCTCTGCATCACTCCAAGCACTTATTACAGGTGCTGGCAACTGAGTGGGAGTGTGGCGATGGATCGATGACCCCCTCCCTCAACACATCTAGTTTAAACCCACCTTGACCAGCCTGGCAAGTCTCCTGCCGAAGAAGCTCTTCCCCTTGAGCAGCTCCACCAGCCTCCAGTAGATCTGGCCTCCCAAATCGAGTCCCATGTTCTAAATAACCAAACCCTGACTGTGGCACCACCGTTCTAACCATTTATTAACCTGCCAAATCCACCTAGCCTTTTCAAGGTCCTCCCCTTTGACCTGCAGGATTGATGGAAAAACTATCTGAGCTCCAGAGACCCTAACCACCTCTCCCAGGGCTCTGGAGTCCTTCTTAATGTTGTCCAGGCTACTGCTATCTGTATCGCTAGCACCCACATGAACACTAGAAGTATGTAATAGTATTACATGCCTAGACCAGGCAGCCTCTCAGCAACAATCCCTGATCCGAGCCCCTGGTAGGCAACACCTCCCTCAAGACTGAGTCAGGAAGACACATGGGTGCCTCTGTGCCCTTCAAAGTAGAGTCACCTGCTACTATGACCCGCCAGTCTTTCCTGGGTGCACCAGCAGTGGTCCTCTTTACTGGTGCATCAGCAGGTTGTTCATTTGGTGCGGTGTGCGTTTCCTTTTTAGCCCCCTGCAGCGCTGTGAAGCAGTTCTACGTGGGGAAATCAGATTTTGGAGGAAGACCCTCGCTTTTAATTGTCCTCTTCCTTCTTTTTTTTGTGTTGTTTTTATATTTGTTACTAGCTCCCAGCCTCCTGGACCCTCCTTTTCTGTGCGCGCTATGGTGGACGCTTGTGGCCCCTGCACAGTTTGGGCCTGGAGCAAGCAGTCCAGTTCCCTCTCAGCTTCCCTGACATCTTTCAGCCTACTGACAGTATCCCGTAGCTCTGGCCCTGCTATAGGAGGACCTCCACCAGGGCACACCGAGTGCAGCCGTGTCCATTACGCACTCCTGCCTCCATAGACAAGTGGAAGCATCAACTACACTCGGAGGTCTGTGCTGCAGCCTCCCCTTTCACTGGCTCTGTCCGGTGCCAACACTGCCACCGCAGGGGCAGCCAGAGCAGAGCTCCCAGACCAGGTCCTCCCCATCGTGCTCGCTACCCACTCACGCTGCCTGCTCCAACTTCCACACCACGCCCTGCTCCAGCGCTCCTGGTTGCTCACGCTGCCCTGAGCTGTGCTCTACTCACTCAGGGCAGTGCCGTCCCTCCTGTCACCACCCCCTGTGAGTCCCTGCTCACGTCAGCAGATCTGCGGGCTCCTGGGCAAGTCCTGTCGAGGTCTTGAGGCTCCCTTGGTGACTCTCGCTGCTCAGAACTAAGGTTCCTGGACACGGGGTTTCCCCTTGCTCTGGGATTGAAGGCTCCTCTATAGAGATACCTAAGCTAAATAGTGTTTAAACATTACCAGTTTAAAGAATGAAGAGCTCAGCTTTTACATGGGTATCAAAACCATGCTTTCCTAGAACTGCTAATTCTCTTGGTATTTGTCACAGCACTTTCAGAAGTTATGAAAAGAAGAATGTCATGTTGAAAGTTCTCAGATTTTCTTATCAAAATGCCAGAAGAGATGATAAAATCATTCAAGTCTATTTCAAATTCTTCTCACTATTCTGTCCCTTCTGCTAATTTATTGCAATGTCAGGACTCTTTTCACATGAAGATAGTTCTGTCCTGGATGTATTTGAACTGATGAAGAAAAAGCTCCAACAAAATTCTTTTTTTTCTTGCAGTAAAATAGAGTAGATGTCAAATATAAAGTACAAGAAATTTGTTTGGACTGAAAGAGCTAGGATTTAGACTTCTAAGTTCATGAAGCTAAATCCTATATTCCGGAGATGTTCAGACTTGCCAGAAAATTTCCTAGTAACAATTATTTAACTGCCTGACTATCAGACTCACTATCAATGAAAACATGGAAATCTTGGGAGCTCCACATATTTTTTAATGTGAAATATACATGAAAGGCCAAAGATTCATTTCTATAAACAACACCTGTTGTAGACCACAGAAACCATTTATAGAATAGTGCTGTTACACCCCTCCTAACAGTACAAGAGTATTCCAATACAGGATATCTTCTTTTTGAATGTTATGAAAAAGTAAATGGACATTATTTACCATTTTAGTAAGTTCCAAATTTGCTTAGCAAAACTGAAAGTATTTGGGAATATTTAACCACTTGTCAAGTGTCCTTAAAGTTTTGTGGTAGTACCCACAAATCATGAACCTGCTTCTCTTTCTCTGAGTTTGCCTTTGATCTGCTTACAACAGATGTGGTGAGGCCAGTACAACTAAGTGGAAAGCTGCTGCCCCATTAGTTACAAGTCTCCAAACATGTTACGTGTATTTATGTAAGAACTCCAGTCAGCTGGGGGCTGACCTACTAGAAAGCAGTTCTGCTGAGAAGGACCTGGGAACACTGGTAGACAGTAAGTTGACTACGAGCAGGCAGTGTGGCCCTGTGGCCAGGAGGACTAATGGTATCTTGGTGTGCATATTAAAATTTATCTTAAAAATTTGTTTTTGAACTGCATGATATCATCATAATTGGATAACATGCTGCAAGCAGATTAGAGCTCATATAGTGACTCATTAGTGCATTAGAGATTCACAGGATTCTCTGTAAATGTGAAATTAAAATAAGTATTTAAAGTGAAGTTTATATCATGAAAGAAACCAAGAATATATTTTAGAAATCAGACTTACCACTCTTGGTCAAATACTGAACATTTGACATCACTTCTTCAGTGTAAATCCCTGGTTCGTAATTGTCCATCTCACCCGAAACAATATGAGCTACTCTTGAAGCACGACCTCGGATTGCACCTGCTGCACGATCTAAATTGTCTGCATTTTGCTCTCTCAGTGCAATGATACACTTGTTTACGTCCTCAAGAATATGGCTTTCTGCAAATAAAACAACATTTCTTTTAGGATGAGCCTCTTATACGATCAGACATATTTTAGACATGGAGTTGATCGCATTTTTCTCCCCCTATTGAAATGCATTGGCCAACACAAGCTTGGATAAAAAACTTACAATGTAAAATGAACACTGAACCGTCCTTGAAAGTCTTAAAACAACTTACTGAATCTTAGAATTCAAAGGTATGGTAATAGTCTCCTATAAGCAACAGCAACAATAAAATGTTGAGTAGAGAGTGTGAAAAATCTGAAAATCACAAAATCTCACATATTTGCACATATTTGCACATAGCAAATATTTGCACAATGAAGGAAAATTTCATGGGAATAAAACTGTTATGTACTTTTGAAATTTTCTTAAGCCTTAAGTGACAAAAGTTGCCATGAGATGAATCTCTGTCAACAACTGCTCCAACAATTAAACTACCTTGTTTTATATCAATGTGTTATGATGTTCACGGTGACTCAAACTCTTAGATGAATAGAATGAGCAGTATTTTTGCCTGGTATTAAAATTATGCTACTACTTATTAAATTATTGTGATATGCATCATTATAGATTACGTATTTTACATATGATTTACATTTCTTATTTATAGCAATATATTTACTGTATTACTATGTATAGGTTTATATGCTATTGGTGAGGGTCAAATAAATATGTGCAAATATTTATGTGATACATACAGTATCACTTATCAATATATTAAAATGATGACACAGCACTGGCTTTCCTGGTAAAGCAACTTTATTTCATTATGTTTTCTTTCCAAAGAATATTCCTCCCCTTCAGCTACCTCTGTCATTGCCTAATAATAGCACCTCTTTTTTATGTTATGATACTTTCATTCCTTCAATATTCTTCCCTTATTAGAATTTTCCTGTTTAAAATTCATCACCACCTCAGAAATATAAAGCTCCATTAAGGAAATAAATTATTTCTTGCTTCATCTTTTCTACAGCAATTGGTTTATTACCAACTCTAGTTACATGATTTGCTATAACATATTCTAAGCTTACACATTTTTACTTTACAAATTAAAACATACACACACTACAATCACGTTCTGTCTGACCAAACATATATACATTCAAAATTTAACATTTCTGGCACAGAAAAGAACACAAAGCTTGGGACTAGCAGGGAGATGCTGGTAATCTATGTGAAACACATAATGACACAGAACCTCTGAAAGTAAAAAAGTCTCTTAGACACCAGTTCTTGGATGAGAAATTAAATGCAACCACCTGCTTCACCCCACCTCCCACACTGGGAAATTGCAGAACACAATCAGAAAAAAGGTAAACCCCATACGTTGAGAACAGTATAACTGAAATAAAGTACGATATAGTAATAATCATGTATAGGACCTGATGAAATCCATCTGCGGGTCCTGAGGAAGCTGGCAAATGAAGTTGCTAAGCCACTGTCCATCATATTTCAAAAATCATGGCAGTCAGGTGAAGTTCCCGACGACTGGAAAAAGGGAAATAAACCCACACTTTCAAGAAGGGGAAAATGGATGACCCAGGGAATTACAGACCAGTCAGTCTCACCTCTGTGCCTGGCAAAATCTTGGAACACATTCTCCTGGATGGCATGCTAAGGCACATGAAAAACAACAAGGTGCTTGGTGACAGCCAGCATGGCTTCACTAAGGGGAAATCCTGCATGACCAATTTGGTGGCCTTCTATGATGGGACGATGGAACTGATGGACAGGGGTAGAGCAGTTGATGTCATCTACCTGGACTTGTGCAAAGCATTCGACACTGTCCCGCATTACATCCTTGTCTCTAAATTGGAGAGACATCAATTTGATGGATGGATCACTCGGTGGATAAAGAACTGGCTGGATGGCCAGATGCAAAGAGTTGTGGTCAATGGCTCAATGTCCAGCTGGAGACCAGTAACGAGTGGCGTCCCTCAGGGATCGGTGTTGGGACAGGTCTTGTTTAACATCTTTGTCGCCGACATGGACAGTGGGATTGAGTGTGCCCTCAGCAAGTTTGCCAATGACACCAGGCTGTGTGTTTTTGTTGATACCCTGGAGGGAAGGAATGCCATCCAGAGGGACCTTGACACGCTTGTGAGGTGGGCCGATGCCAACCTTTTGAATTTTAACTATGCCAAGTGTAAGGTCCTACACCTCGATTGGAGCAATCCCAGGCACAGCTACAGGTTGGGCAGAGAAGAGACTCAGCAGCCCTGCAGAGAAGGACTTGGGGGTGTTGGTCGATGAGAAAATGAACATGAGCTGGCTTCAGTGTGCACTCGCAGCCCAGAAAACCAGCCATATCCCGGGCTGCATCAAAAGGAGCGTGACCAGCAGGCTGAAGGAAGTGATCCTGCCCTTCTACTCTGCTCTCATGAGAACTCACTTGGACTATTTCGTACAGTTCTGGTGTCCTCAACATAAAAAGGACATGGAGCTGTTGGAACAAGTCCAGAGGAGGGCCACAAGGATGACCAGGGGACTCGACCACCTCCCATAAGAAAACAGGCTGAGAGAGTTGGGGTTGTGCAGCCTGGAGAAGGCTGTGCAGAGACCTCATAGCAGCCTTCCAGTATCTGTAGGGGGGCGACAGGGATGCTTGGGACGGACTATTCATTAAGGACTGCAGTGATAGGACAAGGGTTAACGGGTTAAAACTTAAACAGGGGAAGTTTAGATTGGATATAAGGAAGGAATTTTTTTACTCTTAGTGAAGCACTGGAATAGGTTGCCCAGGGAAGTTGTGAATGCTCCATCCCTGGTGGTTTTTAAGTCCAGGTTGGACAGAGCCTTGGGTGACATGGTTTAGTGTGAGGTGTCCCTGCCCATGTCAGGGGTGTTGAAACTAGATGATCTTAAGGACCTTTCCAGCACAAACTATTCTATGATTCTATGATTCTATGGCATGTATATCACACAAAATAATGAGTTAACTACAGTTTTCCATTATGGAGATTTCACTTGGTACATTTCTTCCTTATATCTAATCTAAACTTCCCCTATTTAAGTTTTAACCTGTTACCCCTTGACCTATTGCTACAGTCCCTAATGAACAGTCCATCCCCAGCATCCCTGTCGCCCCCCTACAGATACTGGAAGGCTGCTATGAGGTCTCCACGCAGCCTTCTCTTCTCCAGGCTGAAACACAGCCTTCTCTTCTCTAGGCTGAACAGACTCAACTTTCTCAGCCTGTATTCATATGGGAGGTGCTCCAGTCCCCTGATCATCCTCGTAGCCCTCCTCTGGACTTGTTCCAACAGCTCCATGTTCTTTTTATGTTGAGGACACCAGAACTGCACACAATACTCCAGGTGAGGTCTCACAAGAGCAGAGTAGAGGGGCAGGATCACCTCCTTCAACCTGCTGGTCACGCTCCTTTTTATGCAGCCCAGGATATGGCTGGCTTTCTGGGCTGCAAGTGCACACTGCCAGCTCATGCTCATTTTCTCATCAACCAGCACCCCCAAGTCCTTCTCCACAGGGCTGCTCTGAATCTCTTCTCTGCCCAACCTGTAGCTGTGCCTGGGATTGCTCCGACCCAGGTGTAAGACCTTACACTCGGCTTAACTGAACTTCATGAGGCTGTCATTGGCCCACCTCACAAGTGTCGGGGTCCCTCTGGATGGCATTCCTTCCCTCCAGTGTAACAACCAAGCCACACAGCCTGGTGTCGTTGGCAAACTTGCTGAGGGTGCACTCAATCCCACTGTCCATGTCACTGACAAAGATGTTGAACAAGACCGGTCCCAACACCCATCCCTGAGGGACACCACTCGTTACTGGTCTCCAGCCGGACATTGAGCCATTGACCACAACTCTTTGCATCCGGCCATCCAGCCAGTTCTTTATCCACTGAGTGATCCACCTATCAAATTGATGTCTCTCCAATTTAGAGACAAGGATGTCATGTGCGACAGTGTCGAATCCTTTGCACAAGTCCAGGTAGATGTCAAGTGAATTGAAAGAAAAAAAAGTATTGCATGTGGCCTAATGGAAATATTGTATGAATGGAACACAGGACGGAAAGCTCAAAATTTTCAAACCTTTTAAGAGATATCAGCCACAACACTTTTATGGAGAAAGGAAAAAGCAAACTTGAGGTCAGATACTAATGGAAATGCAATTAGACCTGGATGTTGTGGTCTGAGATCCCAACTAGTTGCTTCCTTCCAAATTGCTAAGCCTACTTTTAAGTAATTTTAGAATCTTAACTATCAACGCCCATAATAATATCAAGGAATATAAATTAGAATGTGGTATATCCTTCCAGATACTTTGTTTCAAAGAAGACAGACACAGATTTAATTAACTTTATATTGTCTATCCACCCTGTACTACAAAAGTTGCGCAACGTGTTTTCTTTCTATATCCATGCACTGCCTACATGTTAAGGGGTCAGTTGAGAACAGAATGAACAGACAATATGTGCACTCAGTAAGTATAAATGACCCTGCCCGCACATACAGGTACTACACAGTGGTTGCTTTTCCAAATATCTATAGGCAATACACAGTCTCTCTCAATGTTCTGAAGCTCTTTCCAGATGAGGTAGTTCACAGTCAAGAAAACCTTGCTTAACTTCATTTTCTCAAGGCACAAACAAGTTTATACATTTGCCTTAGTACGTCAAATAGAAATCAGCACTGATCACAGTCCAGCTGAGGCTATTTTAACCTTCATCTTTCTTACAGATGCTTCCTCCTATACAATTATACATTATCCTATACAATGATACATTAGATCAACTTTTGATTTTCGTCCAAGTATCCTACTTTCCAAAGCAGAAAAATGAACGCTAGGATGATGTACCATCTCTCTGTCATTAGTCAGTGTCTGCTATAAGAGTTAGTTGTAACAGTGGATTGATAGATGTTTAAAGAAATTGTCAAATTGCCACAGTCAAGTCAATTATGAAGAGTGGCTCACTGTACCTTCCGATTTTCCTCTGGGATCTTGGTGTAGTTGTACTGGCCAAAAATCATATCTC